ACCACCCCACCCAAAATTCACCCACACCAATCAGACCCTGTACCCCGCCAGTTGATCCGAGTTCAGTCCAACATCCCTTTAGAACAAACTATCCCCCCCGTGCTGAATTGTGCAAGGACGGTGTCCACTTACCTCCAAGTGGCCAAGAAGGCACTAATGCAACAGGATCAAATGCAAGCAGATTCCACTTCAGGTGCAAAAGAGCTGTCTGCCCACACGCCAACGGACTCGACCCACGCTTCGTCTCAGGGAACACAACAAACCACGACATCATACAAACCCTTGGGAAATAGGGCGTTAGAATTCTGATGAGTAAAGTGGAGATTAAGACAGAGATAACCAAAATAAAGGAAACAATCAAGGATGCAAATGGCCAGGAAGTCGAGGTCGAAGTGTGGGAGTACCCAACGCAGGATCTACAATCCCTGAACGAGGTCTATGAAAACCATACTGTGCTCTTTAATTTCACGAATAAAAACAGGGATTTACCGCTCAATGAAAAGAGGAAATGGGTGATGGACAAGATCAGGGAAACGGAGAACATACCTGGCACGGAACCGGAGGTGTCCTACCACAAAAGGGGCAGGTACACAGTCATGATTATGTGCGTTGACCCTTCCTCTGCCCAATTCCTTATCTCCCTGGGTTTGCTGAAGTGCAAGGGTTCGGTAATCACAATCCAGAGATGGAAACCACCGAGGGAACCTCAAGCAGAAGCCTCCATACATAGACAGACGATGCTCCGAAACCACTTCTGGGTGCAATTCGACAACCTGTCTGAAGGAATGCACAGCTTCGTTCAGAAAACGTTGCAAGAGGAATTCCCCAACAATCCAATTATAGACTGGCTACCAGCCAACCCAGACTTCATGGCACCTAACCACGACTGGAGAGTGGCATGCCTCGAGGTATCTTCAGGCACGACACCAAAGTTCCCGAACACTTGGATCTTCCGGAAGAATGGCCAACGCATCACAATTTTCACTCCACCAAAACGAACCCTTACTGCTTCTGTTGCAGAAAAAAGGGATACCTTGGCATGCACTGTCCGCAGATGGGGGGAAAAGGAAGAAAGATAGTGCTCAGACAATCAATGCTGGTGGAATGTGATGCCAAACCCGGGGTATGGTACATTAACAATGCTCAGTTCAGAGGTTAGATTTTCGATGACAACCTGGCAAACCCCAAGTGGATTTGGGTCCTACAGGGGGAACCCAAGGTTGACCGGATATTTACCCTCCCTACCATTGTTGCACCCCCCGACGGTCGGTGGCCCTTGGCTGGTCGGCTGCCGACCCGCCGACCGATCGGCTGGTCGGCACCTATCGGTAGGGGGCCGTCGGCACCCCGCAAAAAAAAAGTCCAAAACCCCCAATAACACATCTAACACCCCCATAGCGCCCCCCAATACCCCCATACACCCCCACAGACCGCCCCCAAACTGCCCCCAACACGCTCATTACCCCCCGGGCCCCCGCAATACCCCCTATACCACCCCTATACCCCCCTATACTCCAACCCCAACCCCCCCATATCGCCCCCCATCCCCAAGAGTTTCTTAGCGGATTTGGGCTGTACTCAGCAAGCGCAGTACTTTAAAAAAAATCAGTGGACATTTTTTTTTTTTTTTTTTTACTGGTCAGCAGACCGCCGACTTGTCGGCCCAACTGGTCAGCTGCAATACGGTCGGTGGTTGGGGTCAGCAGTCGGCAGGGATGCAACCCTGCTCCCTACAATAGCAGATGGAGGTCGGTGGGAGCCAGGCGAATGGAGGACAAGAACACATGTTTCGACATGGAACAGGGAATCTGGGAAGCAGGATTGCTAGTCAAAAAGCAAAGATTGAAATCAATGAAAGAAATGCACGAAATTGGATAAAACGCTTGAGAACGCCTTCCTGGAAAACCGAAGAGCCAGAACAGTCCAAGTGCCGCAGTCTGACTCAACTTGTTCGACACCCAAATCCGCAGCCTCCCAACCCCGGGGAGAAGGCAACCTCCGTATTGATGGATCTCTGAAGCACAAACAGGAAGAATCAGAAAGAGAAATAGAGGCGCGTGTAACGGGGAAGAGGAAGCAACAGTCCGTAGGATTGGCAAGCGCCCTACCCACCGATATGGAAATGGACGGGAGCGAACACGCTAAGCAACCAAGCACAGGGCAGGGTGAGAGCAGGACCCTACCAGTTGACGGAACAACACCAATCAAGGAAAACTCCCTCCCGCGGGACAGGGCAACTGGCCCCGATGGGGGGGAGAACGTCATTGACTGCTCCCTATAAGCGGGAAGGGGAAAGAAAAGGGATAGATCAGGGTCAGCGAAACCGAGTCCTCCAAGGAAGAAGATGAGGAACAGTCCGAGAAGGACGAGGAGGAATCTGAGGACGAATTGGAGGAGGAAGACACGGATATGGAGGAGGAGGAGGAGGACTCTCTTGAATGCGTACAACAGTACGTCAGGTCTGGAGAGAGCAAGAACAGTGGAATTCGAAGTGAGATTGACCCATCACAAACACCTCAAAAATCTTAGAGCAGTGACGACAACAGCCAATGATATAAGCACAGAGAACAGGTTTGAAGTGTTAGAGAAGGAAGGGGAAATCAACTAATTCTATGCTGCACAACAAAACCTGAAAACGAAGGTCGAAAAGGATGAGATCAAGGTTGATCTAAGCAATTATACACAACACTTTGCATGGCCCAAAACCTATGAAGAAAAAAATACAGAAAAAATTCAAAAGAGAGTCAAAAGGCAAAGAAATACAGCAAGCAATTCAAGAGCAGAAGAACACTTGGACCAGACCACGGAGGACACCGAAACTGTAGAGGAGCTCAACAGACAGGCCGCCATTCTCGAGGCACAGGTCAGTGCATTACCGGACCAAAAGAGGGAATTGGATGAGAACTGTCTAAACCTCAAAGACATAGCCATAGGGTACAACAAGGAAATAGAGGCAGCGGCCAAGCTGGATGCCTGCTCCAATCACAAACGGCCTACAGTAATCCCGTACAGATAGAACAGCGACTACGAGACCTGGGAAATCGCATACCACAAATCCATGGCATTGTTGACAGCCATGGACCAGGACTGTCCGCAACAGCATCTGAGGAAGTGGATTTCCGATGCAGTGCCAGCAAGGGCCCACATTCTGGGAACCAAAAAGGAGGCATGTGAGGTTTGGAAAGATCAGGAGGGAAGTCCACAATGTGCAGATCTCATACCCATTATTTTAGAACTCGGGGAGGAGGCAGAGCTCAAGGACCTGTGTTGGATCCCGTGGCAGGTAGTGGAAGCAATTCCCTATGGTCTGCTGGGGGGAACACTACTGTGGAAATAGCAGCATTTAGCGCCTCGCTAGTCACAGCATACGGCATCTTTCAGATGTCACCCAGGCGGCTTGGTGTGAAGTTAATGGGGTCTACTTCAACTGGGAGGGACATTGGCCCTACTGGTGCCTAGATCACGATAGCAACAGGGGTATGACCGCGGGATCAAACTAACGCTGACAATGGGGGACTCCATCATACGCAAGCAGGCACCCCCCACCTACAGTAAGTTTGCAAACAAGAGCCAAATTTGAGGATTATTTCTTGGAATATAAATGGCATGTCCTCGGTTCTCAACAATCAAGGCAAGTGGGATAACATAACAAAGGCCACAAATTGATATGGCAGGTCACCCCCAGATATACTTTGCATTTAAGAAACTCACTTGACTCAATCGCAGGATCACCAACGAGCTCAGAACATGATAATTAAAACACTCAAATGGGTGAGAGAAGCGGTCTGGGCCCCTTCTCATTTGCCTCACTCACCGGGAGTGGTCATACTACTACACGCCAAGGCCAAAGCAACCAGTAAAATCTCCATACAATCAACCGAAGTAGACACTGCGGAAGGAAGATGGGCGTGCATAAATTTTCAATTTCTTGAGGAACAGTTTCAAATCTTCACCATATACTGTCCCAATACATTACCTCAAAGAAGGGACCTAATCGAACAACTGGCTCCAAAATGCGATCCCCATAGACACCTTCTGCTAGCAGGTGATTGGAATGTCGCGCTCGACCCAACAATGGACCGCTTCTCGGGGGGTATCTCCCCAGTTGAGAACATGACATGGAGCGAAGCACTCCCCATCTACGACATAATGACCGAAAAGAACCTGCTGCATCTACGACATAATGACCGAAAAGAACCTGCTGGACCCGTACAAAGTTAAATACCCGGACAACAAAGAATATACCTATCTAAAAAGGAACAGAAGTCGACACATATCTGCCTTTAGAATAAACTACTTCCTAATCTCATAATCACTTCTAGGTTCAGTTAACAACTCAACAATAGAGGGCCTACCCCACTACTCAGGCTTATACCATAAGCCTATCACACTTAATCTCAATATTGGAAACAACCCAAGCAGAGGATTTTTTTTTTTTTAAATTAACAACTCGATCCTCAACACCCTGGAAATCAGGGAAGCGGTGCTAAGAACATGTATAGACCACGACCACACTAACCTCGACTTTCCTGACCTGGTCACCCCACTTTCCCAAGCCACAGCAAAGGCTTCACGGATACTGACTAGTAAAAGAGAATTAAGGGAGGAAGAGCTACAACAAACCTTAAAACTAGCAGAAGGCAACCTCAGCTCCCACCTAGGTTCGTCCCTTTACGAGAGAGCGTTGGAGCAAGCCACGCATGTACTAGCAGAATGGGAGGATTGGAGGGAGGATTGGAGGAACAAAGGTCTGGGAATGCGAGCAAGGGTGAAGGAATGGGAGAAGGGAGAAAAAATGACCAAATACTTCTTTCACAAGATAAAATCTAACGCTAGCAATGCAAACATTGACGAACTTCAAACAGACCAGGGTCCCTCTTCGGATCCATGGTTAATGCTGGCAACAACAGCATCTTTCTTCAAGAACCTGTACACCTCAAAGGAGCAAGATTACACACAGCAGGAAACAACGCAGTCCAGAAACAAATTACCTCACATACCTGGATAAGACTATCGCAACAGAACAAGCCACAGCGTTGGACGCCCCAATCTCAGAGCAAGAGCTCTTCGAAGCCCTGCACTCTATGAAGCCCAACAAAGCCCCCGGAATCGATGGACTCTCCAAGGACTTCTGGGTAGCGTACTGGCCAGTGTTGGGCACATAATATGTCCAATTCCTCAAGAAAGACTGGGAGAGAGGCTCGCTGGGGGAACAACTAAGCACGAGAGTTGTCTCCCTCCTATATAAGAAATTACAAACCAATATCCTTACTCACAGTGAAATCCTAGCGAAACGGTTAGCCAACAGAATAAGAACAATAACTAGGAACTGCTTTCATCTGGACCAAACCAGTTCATTCCGGGGAGGTTTATTTTGGACAATGTAATGACCCTTACAGAATCAGTCAGATACATACAAGAAAAAATCATGAACGCTGCCATCCTCTTCTTCAATTTTGAGAAAGCCTACGATCAGGTGAATTGGAACTTCCTACAGCAAAGCATGGAAAAAATGGGGGTGGGCCCCAACTTCAGGAAATGGGTCAAGATTCTCTATTCACAGGTTCATGGAAGGGTCCAAGTCAACAGGGATATATTACAGCCTTACCAAATGTCACGCTTTGTTCGCCAAGGGGACCCTTTAGCAGCTCCGATCTTCTTATTCATCATGGAAGCCATTACGTCTTTTCTGCGAAATGACCCCTCAAAAGAAAGACTGCTAGAGGACAACCAGCACCCACCCTACGTCCCTACCACAATCCTCTTCGCCAATGATCTGACGGTCTTGATAAGGGCGTCTGACTCCTTCAAAACGCTGACAAGGGCAATGCAAGCATTTCAAATCGCCTCCGTAATGAAAATCGACTGGTCCAAAACTACAGGATGGTGGTTAACAGATCCACAAGTCAATACCCGAAGAAATACACGTGAGGGAATGAGTTGGTCTAAAGGCCATGAATCCCTGAGATTCTTGGGAATCCAAGTATCCAAATTTGGGCCGAATCATTCAATGACCCCGACAATCATAAGTAAAATGATAGATAGCTAAGTTGAACTGCCGGTCCAGAATCAATCTTCGGGAGAGCCCTAATCCTAAACGCCTCTACCTTCTCAATGTTATGGTATGCCTCAACCATTTGGACACCAATCAAACAGGCGAGATCATAATTGAGGAGGAAGGCAACTGCGTATCTGTGAGCAAGGGACCTGTCTAAAACCCACTTCATCTCCAAAGTGGCCTGGAAGTACGTCACGCAGCCGAAAACACAAGGAGGCCTCGGAGTGCTCGACCGAGAGATCCAAATAAAAGCGTTGCAGACTAAATGGATCATGAAAATCCTAACGAATAGTAACCTCCCCTAGATCAAGCTGGGACTGCGTAGAATTAACTAGCTCTCCAAGGTCAAAACTCCCAATAATATGCGAGGCCTGTTTTGGATAATGTCAAAATCCTGGACCATGGACACTTCCAACAGAAATCTAGAGGCATATGAGCCAGAGGAGAGGCAAACCCGGAGCTTTTGGAGGCATCTCTTGATAACCTGGAGGGAAATATTCCCAACAAAGGTAAGAGAGCCTAATTCCAAGGAAGAAGTGTTCCGCCAACCCATTTTCTGCAATCAGTGGATCCTAGGACCTGAGGGCAAATCGTGGACACTTACAGCATTAGACGTAAAGTGGAAGCCATGGGTAGATAAAGGAATCTTTGGTCACTTTTGGAGGGAAGATGGAAAACGATGGTGGAGCTAAGGCAATCCTTGAAGGGATGCCACAACGTGCAGGACAACCTCAACAACATCCTAATCTCCATCCCGGACAACTGGTTAACCCTTTTGAAAAGCCCCCTCAAGTGGTCATCTGGGATTGGCTTACAAACACAAAAGACGCTACCCCGAGCATGGCTTACCTACTGCGTACAAGGGAAGGACTTGGGAACAACTGGCTTATTTGTGATATGTATGAAATTGAAAGCCCTGAAACCACCACAAGCTTATTAAGCAAGAGCTCAGCAGGAGAGCTCCCAGCGAACACAGTCAGGAAGGCCAGGGTCGTGGAAAACGACAAACGCACAATCTATAGCCCTACAAAAGACTTACACGACTTAGAATTCGACCCAACTGAATGGGCATGGAAACAAAGATCAGGAAGTTTCGCAATAGAAAAGAGAACTAACATCTTAGATTACACCACCAAATTAGGATATAGACTAAGGACGAGATCCCACCGGATAGCACATATCATTAGTCGAAGATGGGAAACACACCTTAACATACCACAAAGCAAAACTCATGTCAGATCATGGAATAAGTTTCTGGCCAGCACTTCAACCAGAATAAAAAGTTTCCAATGGCAACTAGCTTACTTAGCTCTACCAGTCAATCAATGGCTAAACAAAAGGCGCAGCACGCAGTCGAGATCTCCCCTACAAGAATGTGTCATATGCCAGGAGAACGCGGTAGAGAATGTGACCCACTGTCTCTTAGCGTGTCCCAAAGCAAGGCAACTGTGGGCTAGAGCAGCTGAACTATGGCACTCAATTACTAGCAAAACCATACCAAACGATCCAGCCACCGTGCTCCTAGGACTTCACACTCCCCCCAATTGGCAAATTTATGAACACTCGTTGTACCAGGTATTGAGACTGGCCACATTACGGTCAATTTGGAAGGCCATATGTCAGGAAACGATCGGCAACTCGCCGATGCAGACCCAAGAAGCTTGGGAGGGATCCCTGCAACTAATAGAGACAGAATACAGAGGATGTTGGAAAAGAACTTATAAAAAAATCATGCAAAATATAAAAAATAAGGACAAAATTATTGATGATTTTAAAATAAAACAACTAGGAGACGGGAAAATTGCAACAGTAGAAAAGGACTGTATCAGGTTTGGTCAGTGCAGCAGCCGATCTCACCCACACATCACGGAGATGCCAAGAAGCAGATCTCATCTCACAAACATAGCCTTGAACTCTGATTAGTGGCCCCAACCCCCCAACATATCCCGCACCCCTCGCAAACACCGCATAGCCGGAATCCCCTCATCCATACCGACAATCCAAGCATAATGCACAGACAGCCTAGCCCAGAAATCCTTAGGAGTCACAAGAGCTAGGAAGCAAGCGGCAACAGGTTCAACGCAGTTAGGTCCGGGTCTCAACTACAACACAGACCAGAGGGGAGCATTCAGTAAGGCCAAGCCCCCCCCAGAAAGATAAAATAGCAAGTCTAATACATCAGACGAATAGGTATGCCTAGGGTTTAGGGTTTAAGAGTGGGCACGGGGAAGAAATAGATAGGCAACCCAGCTCGGACCAACAATCCAGATTCAGAACCATTGTTTAAGCACACCAGACCCAACCAGCATCCGGATCAATTCCTTCTAATCCACTACAGATAACTACAGCTATGACACGCAAATGAAATAATTACCCCCCAAGGAGACTACCGCAACAACACAGACAGGAACAGTAGCTAAACACGAACCGTACTAGCAGACAGTATGTCAAACCTCCATCCCCCATAGACTTCTTCTCCATCAAAGGAAACCACTCTACCGCAACCCCATTACAATCCACACAAACCCCTCACAACGGTTTCACTGCTAGCCAACTACCGCTCAATAAACCACCCTGGTCCCAAAACTTCCTCACCCAGACAAGACCACTCTCTCCCAAATGCAAAAGACACCTAACCTCCCAAACCTAAACCTACACACACAAGCCCTCCCCAACCCAGCAGCCTAATACCACTTTCACCCTACTTGCAGTATCCATGAAGGCAGTACTACATAGTATTTACTAAAGAGAGAAAATTCAGGATAAGGGTCACAAACTCAAGCAGAGAGGTCTAACATGTAGTCATCAGGCAAGCTAAACTGGATAGGGTTTAGGGTTTCAGCACTAGTTAGAACTGATTGAAGGGGGAGTTTAAAAAAGATAGCTCAAGGTTTATAAGCAATCATAGATAGTAGAAACTAGAAAGGAGAGGGTATAGCGCCATGTTAACCCAAAGAGGAGGGACAAGTCTGCAGTTCTAGTGCAATCAGACTCACTATCTTTCACACTTCACATGCATGCAAACAAGTTGCGCAGCAAACTGGCGACAAGCGCCCACTCCAAACTCAGAGATATAGTAGCCAAGAACGCAGTTCAGGTACAAGTTCACTTCAAATGGTTATGGCGACACAACGCCTGTACAACTCTCTGTTCGCACACACAAGATCACCCTGGATATCCCACACGCGACACTCTGCACACACATACGCACACACAGGCTACACTCCCCTAACAGCTATGGCGGCTATGGCCGCTGCTACCCTATCGCTTTGGCTAGCTCTTCCTTCTCGCCCACTTCGTCTTCGGGCTCACTGCAGACCACCTTGCACAAGTCGTTGTGGCAGCGCTTCCGCATGGCTCACGCAGGAATCAATGAATGGCTGGGCGCTGCCCCTTGATTTATACTTCTGTAGCCCGATGGTCTGGCCCTTTCCCATGTCCGTGGTGCACATAGTCCCATACAGTACTTGCTTGACTGGACTAGGACTGATTGGGACTGGGACTGCTGACTCAGCACGGGTAGACTCCACCACTTGCCCACTTGCCTCGTCCTAAACGTGAGCAACTCCGAAAGGCCAGTACCAGGACCTTCCGGAAGTTTCAACTCTGGCCTTTCGGGTAAGTAGCAGCTACGACCTTGACCTTTCAGGACTGTAGCAGCTACGACCTTGACCTTTCAGAGGTCCTACAGCTACGACTTCTCGAACCTCCTAGACCTACTGATGACAGATCTACAGATTGAACCCCTACACCTACAGACCCTCCGATATTCTACCAATTGTTGCAACTACACAGGTCACGGGTTCAACTCTCGGGGTCGACACAGGTAATGTACACAGGTAAGATTAAGTCTAGGGATCGAGCCCTGGGATCTGCATTCACTACTGCGCCAGGTGAATACCGTTTCACTCCCGCCGTCCTAAATTCGAGGTCCTCCGAGAATAACTCAGTCCAAGGCAGGACTTTTACCTTTCTTCTCTCTCTCGTAGGCTCTAACTATGTCGAGAGCTGTTTCTA